TCTGAAGAAAAAACTTTTGAAGAAAAAAAATTCTGAAGAAAAAAAAATTCTGAAGAAAAAAAACTTCTGAAGAAAAAAAAAATTCAGCACAAAGTTTTTGATTAGTTTCCATCCCATTGTTTTCCTAAAAATCAATAATGTGATTTTGTCAATTTTAAACGCCCTAAAATTAGCTAAATCGGCGCTTTAGGGTGATTGCGTAATATGCGTGCACTATGACCTTTGACTTTTTACGGGTCATGCAGCTCTGTGCCGGCCGCCCTCCCACCCCTCGGCCGTGCGTTTTATGGGAAAATTTCTACTTTTTTAGGGGTTTCGGGACCTAAAAACTAACATCAGAGGGAAAATAAACCACATACGTTATTTTCATGGTAAATATCGCTAAAATGGACCACGCATTTTTCTTCCGCGTTACCGATTTTTAAAAAGGCCTCGCCATGTGCTTCACGCCGATAGCGACTCGCCTTCCCCCGTCCCGTTTTATGAGCAAATTTCTGCTTTTTCAGACATTTTGGAACTTAAAAACCGACAGCAGGCGAAAAATAAACAACATACATTATTTTCATGGGAAATGCCGCTATACTGGCCCAGACATATATCTGTTGCGTTAACCGAATTTTGCGGCCGCCACATGCTCATGGTGCGGTACGGTAGGGAATTTTCCACGGCTAGTTCGTAAACGCATCGGCTTTATAAACTTATTTTCGGGCTCGAGGGCTTTGTTTTACAAACCAATCAGACAATTAGCGTTGTTTACATGACTTAAAAACGCCAGCGGGGCGCCCGATGTTCCACCAATGACAGCGCCTCTCTCGGTAGCGTCGTGCGAAATGGTCATTGTTTACTCGTTTATCGCCCATTCACAAGTTTCAGAAACAATGCCGACGGGAAAATGGACGCCACTCGCGTCAAGATTTCGATGTTTTTTGCCTATTTATCCGCGAAAATACAAAGAGAAGACCCTTAATTTGAAAATTTTGGGAGTGGCGCTAGAAATTTTGGGAGTGGCGCACCGCCGTTGCACCATTGCCTGGGGAGACCCCTGTGATATATTTTAAAATATTTAGCCATGGGTTAGGCAGTCAAGACCACTTGATTCTACTCCAAACTACTTTTCCAGTGTTTTACATATGATTTGTTTCAAGAACCTACTGTTTATTTTTCTTTATAATGTTCACAAAACCGTAATAAAAAAGGCTGATGTATACAATTCAAGACAATTTATTACAGGTAGCCTCTTCAACACTGCAAACTGACCAGCGTTTTCGAGATGACCTTATCTTACAATATAAATGTCCAGATGCCAACGAGAGTGGGACGCCCTGACCACAGGGTCAACAAGTTATTTACCTTTTCTACCTGGCTGAACAATTTAATGATGTTTACATGTCCACCCCTGCCCTACGTAAACAAACGCATGTCATTCTGCTTACTCTATACCTACATACATATAGGACTAGACAGTAATTTAGGGAAAAAACACTCCAAAGCACTGGAAAGTGCGGAAAACTGTTAACACCTCAGGTGAGGTGATACCGAAAGGGGAAGAAGTTGGTACAATACACAAAACCTGAAGCATATGGAACACATGACAGCACTGTGTTTGTCTACACTAACTCAAACAAGGGATTCCCTCCGACAAATACTTGAAATAACAAGAGACAAGATACCCAGAGGGAATATGTACAGGTAAGGAGCATCCATGACTGCAGGCAAATAATTAGGAAAATGAATAGATCAATCACATTTAATTGTTTTGCAATAACAGGTAAGAGAACAATTTTGCAAACAAGCTGCTGTATGTATGAAAAATTAGCAAATAAGTTGATAGTAACTTTTTACCGCATATATGTCTTTCAGCATGACAGTTAATTGTATTGTGTGTTCTTGGTTTCAATTTTTGTGTACAGTGGTATGTAAATATCTTCTGCACAATAATGATCAAAGAAAAATTTTGACATTTGTGAGATGTTCCATCAGTGGACGTTAGACTAGCATTCTTTCCAATTCAGAAAACACCCTACAGGCTACAGAAATCATTTTAATTGGGTGTGTTTTTGAGCTCTGTCCGCTATTTTGGACTGACGTTTCAATCGGTCGTTATTCCGAGGGTGCCCCACCCTGCCCTTTGGTCAGGAAGAAGCTAATGAAAGAATGGAATAAATGAGGAAAGTCTGGTTCATATCAGCTGACATCTAACATACCAAACATGCTTTGTGGATCTAGTAGTACAGAGTACACCACATGGCCTGTGTATTCCTTACAAAAACCACTAAGGAACAACAAACAATGAGTATTGCAAAGAAAAGTTAGCCTAGTTGGTTACCAAACCTATGCTAACCGCTGTCTCTTTCGTCCTATATTTGCAAAGAGGACGAAAGAGACTGTGCAGATAAAATAGGTATAGTGACCAGGCTAAAGAAATGCATGTTGTAAGTATTACTAAAACGTTTCGGAGGTTTCAAAGATGTAGAAACTTTTGCAATCTGAAATCTGCATGTTACTTTGTGTTACTTCTTACATTTATTTATCACACATAAATTATAATGCACTTGAAATTCTGACAATGACAAAACAACATTGGATACAAGCCAACTCGTCTCAGATCACAGGAGCACATCGACAAAACGTAATGCACCTGCGCGAAACCTGTAATGTATTGTACGTAGCACTTCGTTAGAGCGTCTCATAATATATAAGGTCACATTCGCGCATGTAAGGTTAACACTCCGCCTGTACTTACCAAATGTTATGTTGGAAAAGGTATCTTCTGCAACAGGCAAAATTCTGATGCAACAAAATCCAAAGAAAACCGTGTAAAATGGGGGGTTTTGCACTGGCGCACTATGTTCTGCAGACGTACTGATCACAGGCCACATATGGGTATGTAATTGACGAACCAAAGT